GGAGCAGGCTGGTAGAGCTGGACACTGACCTGGTCATCAGTTCTAACCAGGGGTCTGTCTAGCCAGACCTGCCTTGGAAGCTCAGTGCTGCTTTCCAAAGGAGTCCTCAAACTCTAACCCAAGATGGAGCCATGTTTGGGTTTTTCCTTGTCACTTGTCATTATTATCACTCTATTTTCCAACCATTGAGTAAACTTACCAGTTTCTAGGATGGCCCTGCCTTTGGCCAGCATAGTAGTGAACCATGGTATTACTGGCGTATTTGAGATTGTTCAGAGATGTTTTTGTGGGTAGAATGGCCTCAGTTTCCTATCATTTCACTACCTAAGAATTTCCTCTGCACTGACTTGCTTTCTCTTTTAATAGCAAGAATGCCATAAGACACAAAAAGCCAAAACAGAAATCTTAATGCACTGTATATCTAGTCATGGTGAGCAGAATTTGCTTTTCTTCCAAGCAGTTTGTTGACACAGGCGTCTTTTAAAGGCATTACAAATGTCTTCAAACTCTATCTTAAAGTTTAGCATTACCTTGTTTAACACTGCTGCTCTCAAATGGGCTTGGGCATAGGTGGAGTCTAAGATAGTCGAGGAGCATTTGTTTCACATTATCTTACTGGGTTTGGTGTTTTTGCAGTGTCTTGTGTGTCTTTTCTTTAAAGAAATCTCCTTTTATGCATATTTGAGGAGCTGGAGCGGAGCTGTGAGGAGAAGCTCCATATCTGGGCAGGAAGTCCTGCTGACCAGGCAGCCCAAAAAACAGGCAGCGGTGCCTGTTATGTTTGGCCAGTGCACAGATGGAAATGAGTGGCTGAAACCTCCCTCCACTTCTGAGGGAGCGAGGAATAACGCCGTCCTCCAAATAGATGTGGCTGTGCTTTGACTTGTCACAAGGAGATGCTGCCCAAGGGGTCTGAGCTTGCAAGGCAATGCAGCAGTTGGTGGGTGAGTGCCCTGTCCCTATGTGGAGGGGGCTCAGGCTGCTCCTGCTGCCCTGGCACGGTCTGCCTGTGCCACAGGGATGTCCCCGAGACTTCATGGGGCCACCTGAGCTGCCCCATGGGCAGTGGGTGGGATGAGCTGCCATCTCAGCACCTTCCCCTGCTGCTGGAGACCTACACCTCCAAGGGCAGAGAAACCTGAGCCATCTCGGGAGCCATGTGTTGCCTTGAAAAGCCTCTCAATTTTCATGTTGTTTCCCCCATATGTTTTCCTATAGCTCCAGACTCATGGCTGGCTTGCATTGCATGGTGAGGAGCCTCATGCTACTGACACCTGCAAACAAGAGTTCCCAAGGAGACTTGGAGCTCCTGGTCACGAGGGCACATGGTCTGGTCTTGGCTAGAGCAGTGCACAAATGAGAGGGCTGCTGGCTAGTTTTACAGCACATGTCTGAACCTGTATGTGGCCAAAAATAACGGCTAGAGCTTCTGTAGTTTTGTCTTAAGGAAATGGATCCTCAGCCTTTGTATAACCCAAAGGCAAGGATCGCCTGTTGATGCCAACGGTTTGTTCAAGTGAAACAATAATGGTAGTTTAAGGTAAGAGCTGGGACTTTGCTGTATTAAATGTGATCTGGTTTACTGTATTTGTTTGGGCTGAGTAAATGTGTAACTGAGACGCCAGTGGCAGCTCCTGGGGTGCTGGTGGAGGTGGCAGGTCAGCAGATGGAGAGGAGCAGCCTGCCTCGCTTGGGCTGGTCCGGTAAGCCTTACAGGGACGGCCTGGCCACAGGGTGCCCCTTGGGTCGGAAGCACTCGTTGGATTGTCTGTCCATCTGAGTTGGCCGTTCAGCCCACGGTGGTGTCTTGGAAATCCTCCCCTGGCCCTTGGCAACGGACAGCCTGGCCCAAGCCATCGTGTGGCAGCATTTGGAGTTGGGTAGTGTCTAAAATGGATCCAGCAGCCTGGACATGGATCCTCCAGCTAACTGGGGTGATGGGTAGTGCCAGCCCGCTCTGGAGAGCAGATACGAGGGTGTTCTGGAGAGTACTGATCAGTAGGTACTCCATGGGCTTTGAGTAAAGCGCGGTTCACCTCAGCTAAACTTGGACCTGGGATGTGAAGCAGAAGTCATGTTTGGATAAGCAGAATAAATTATCAAGTTGGATAAATTACCAAGCAAGGGGCTTGTTAACACTGAAGTACCAGAGTGAAGCACTGGGTTTAGGTATCGGTGTGGGGGTCACAGGCTGGTGGTCACCCCGAATGGCTGTGAGTTCTGCACTGATGCCTAGGCTCTGAAGTGTCAGGTTGTTTTGGGGTTCACGTACTGGTTCTTGCTACTGACAACACTTTCCCTTTGCTTTTCCCCTTGTATGTAATGAAACTTTTCCAAATGAGTTTATTTAATCCAGATGTTTGTATTTTAAAATAAACAGCCATTCGTAGTCCCTTGCCTATACTCAGCTTCTGTCTGACTCATTAAGATCAGAGTCAGTTCAAAAACCCCATCAGTTGTTAGGTATCTAGCACAGGGTTCCAGAGCTGGCAAGACTGTAAGTGGTCTGTGCTGGAATCTTAAATGTCTTTATCTGATCTGGAGTGCTGGCACGTAGCTGAAGAATCAAAAATGTCCTATTTTTCCAGATATTAGAGGCAGGGTGGAGTATGTGTGCGTGTTAAGACCATTTTTATGAATTCCCAGGGTGAGAGGTCTTTTCACTCACTTCAAAATATCTGGAAAAACTGCAGGTGAAAAATTAAGTGAAAACTACAGGTGAAAGCTGAGGCACAAAGGAAATAGCTCACCTTGCCTGCAGGACTGCTGAGATGGGCCATTTCGTGCCCTTTGGGCTGTGTTTCTCAAGGATGAGCAGCCTTGTATGGAGACTTAATAGTTCTGCACAAAAAAGCATGCAAAGGCTTGTCTACCTTAAAATTGGCTAACCAGTGTCCGCCTGTTTCTAGAACCATCTGTTCATAAAAGCTTCGTCCTTATCAGCAACACTGGGTTTTCCGAGTCAGTCTGGTGCCTTTCCTAAGTGAGAGCCATCAAATAACCTTTTCCTCTCAAAAGCTGCCAAATACGAGTTTGAAGCTGGAGGAGCCTGGGGGTGCCCTGGGTCTGTGCAGGAGCTTTGAGGACCCTGGGAGCTGGCGTTGGAAGTGGGAAGGGTGGATCCGGAGGAAGGAGCGGCTGCCAGCATCATTGCCAGCTCAGCATCCGCATGGAGCTGCGGAGCCCAGCGCTGCTGGGCAGAGCTTAGGGCTGCTCGCCAGCCCAGCTGGTGCCTGCAGTGCCTGGCTGCGTGTGGGGGGGCCCTGCACAGCCCCCTCGAAAGGGAATTGGTTTGTTCTAGCCACCCACAGCACTGCAGAGTGAAGGAGCTGAGCACATTTCCCCCAAATGCACACTTTAAAAACAGCCTCTGTTCTTCTACTGCTATTGATCCCTATGTTTGGAAATAGGTTTTGGGAAGGATGGCCGGTGCCCGTCCCCATGGGAAGCTGGGCAAGGCTGTGCCTTGCTGGGGCAGCACGATGGGGCTGGCAGGGGGAGCAGCATGCACGGACAAGGGATGAGGGCTGTGGGCTGCCGAGGGGGGAGAGGAGCCGGGGCAGGAGGTGGTGTAACAAATACTGACTTAATAGCATATAATCTTGTAATGAAAGACTATCATAACACAGAAACACATGGACTAGATTAATACTGCATAGGCAGGCAACACCCTTCTCCGGCAGCAGAAACCTCCACAGCCTCAACTGTTCTACTGATGGGCTTAAATGTGTGCACAAAATGAATAGTCAATGCCTAGAACAAGTTTCTATTTTGAGAGGGATTAAAGATCTTCTACAAAAACTTGATGAATAGGAGCAAGTGCCAAAGAGGGCATGGTGGGGTGAGACCTGTGTGTGTTATGCCTTAATGGAAAATGCAGCCTGTGAGGCCCAGAGTGGTCAGAAAACTGCAAAAGACTGACACTTCCTAATGCTTCTGGAGACCTGAAAGTACTCGGTGTTTGCAGAGGTGGCTGACAACCCCGTAGATCAATCTGACTGTGCAGGGTCAGATCTGCTGAGATGGGGTGAAGCCCCTGTGACGCTGCTGGGCTGGGGGAGGGGGGGTGATGTGTGTCCTGGGGCTGGGACTGCCCTTTCCTCAAGTCACTTCTGCAGGGAAACGCCTTTCAGACAGGAGTCAGAGTTCCTGTGAAAACAACCAGGCTGAGATAAATTCAGTGTCCCGTGGTGTCACCTCTCCCCGGTGCTTCCTGCAGTATGTTGTTGTTGTCTCCATTGTACCCTCCTGTATTCTTCACATTCAAAAAGCCATGTGTGATAAATCCATAGTGCAGATGCTAAAATAGGTCTATCTTCAGTGTTACTGGCTCCTGTTGTGGTTTTTTGCACTTGTCTCCCTCCTGATGGGAGGTTATTAGGACAGGCTGTGCAGCGAGCACCCAGGTACGTAACTGGCTTCTGTTTTCAGAGAGCTGCAGAACTGCAGCCCTTTCCCCCCGGAGCCTTTCCCTGCTGTGCTTCCTGTTCGCTGTGGAAACCACCCATAAAGCCCTGGAAACAGGCCACATTCCCAAAACACACCCAAGCCCCTGTAGAAAGACCAAGGAGGTCTAAGCTGCAGTAAAGCAAATTTAGCACCAGGTCATGGCAATGCACCTCCCTGTCTCACCACGTGAAACTTGACTTGCACAGATTCACATACAAGATATAAGCTGAATCAAAATAACCTTCTAATGAGACCTGAGGCCTCTGCACATGAGATTAAGGTGGCTGCCCGGTCTGTGCATGTTCACTACTTGATGTGCCATCTTCCCTCGTCAAGGTGGGAACCTTCATCCCAAGCGTTCCTGCGCAAACCTGTAGCAGGTCTGCACAGACAGTGGTCAGATGGTGTTGGGAGGTTTGAGGCTTCACAGGACAGAAGGCATGGCTGAAGAAATCAATGTCTGAAGGACAAAGCACAATATTAGTTCTCTACTCTCAGATAATCTTTGAGGAAAAAGCCTTTCCAACTCTGCTGTCCTGTTCTTTTTCCAGATGTCGGTGAGCCAGCCGCAGTCAGGAAGAGGTGTGCCTTGTTTACGCTGCAGAGGGATGTGCACGGGCTTCGAGCCACATTCTTGGAGGTAACGTCTCGGGCCCGGCCCCAGCACTGTCCCTTTGTCCTGTTGGTATTCAAACACCAGTGCCTGCAAGTGCAGAGAACTGCAGAGTGCTTGAGTGGTGCTGGGCAGTGCAGCGAGGACATCCTGTCTGGACAGGACAACTGCTGGGTTGAGAAGATGCTTGTGCTCCCTGCTCTCCATCCCCATTCCCTCCCTGGTCCTGCTCTTTTTTTAAGCCAGTCGCATCCACAAGTGCTTAAACCAAGCGGAGGCCCTCATGCAGTTGGGTTTCTGCTTGTGCTAATGCTGCCTGCTCCCTGGGAGTTAAGATTCTCTCTGCTAGTCTGGGCGCAGGTCTTGGCAGCGAGCTGTGGCTTGGGAAGAGCAGAAAGCCGTGGTGAGAGATGGCCCAGCCTGCAGAAGGGTCTCACCTGCCACGGGACCGTCCCCGGCACAGCCCTGTGTGGTTGGTGCTGTTCAGTGGGCTGTCGGGAGGGGGGCACGGTGCCAAAGCCGCTGCATGCTGCGCTCAGCACGAGCCGCCCGATGCCCCATGCAGCGTGCGTGCTGGAGCACGGATCCTCTGCACGCTGGCTCCCCAGCCTGCCAGACCGTTTGGAAACGAGTTAGTGAAAACAAACGTGTCCGTGCTTGCTTTGGAGGCAGGGAAATGCTGACCAAAAAGATAATCCCGTGCTGTCAGTAGGAGTTGTGCCAAGTGCCTGGCTGTCACCCTCATCCTTGAGGGCAGGCGTGGGCGCAGGGCTGGTGGAGTGAAACAAAGCCCTTGGCGAGGGCTCGGAGCTGTGTCCTGCTTGGTAGCTCCACAGTGGCTGCTGCTGCTGGCTGTCCTGAGCATCCTGACAGCTGAAACGCTCTGCTTAGTGCCAGATGTGTCTTGTTGTTTAATACTTTATTTTTAGTTTTCCCTGTTAAAAACCCTGATTTAGGTAAATAGCCACCATAGCTGGTGGGAGGCGACCAGTGCTGTGTGTTTGGCTCCGGGCAGGGCAGTGGGCTGCTGCCCTGTCTGCTTACAAACCTGAGTGGGAGAAACAAAGGGGGCTTTGAAACAGAAGGGAACTATCCAGATGTCATTAATTAGAAAAGAATTAATGCCCTCTGAGGTTGTCTTGCAAAACACTAGATTCTTTTCTGTGAGCCTGGAGAGCTCCTGCTGGCTGTGTGGCTGGGCGCTGTGGCAGCGGTGCCTGGAGGGCTGCAGGTGGGTGCTCTGTGCTGCTGGCACCCTTAGGTGGGCTCCACAGTGCTGGTGTGGCATCGTGTCCTGCAGCCTTCAGTTCCCCATGTCAGTACCTTGCTGGGTGGAAATGCAAATTTTAAAATGCTTATTTGGTTGAATCGCTACTGTTTTTTAACTGACTTAATTAAAGGC